GAAGTCATGAGCAAACCCAATAAATGTGAAAGCAGAGCAATTTCATTCACTATAACAAACATTATTTAGTGCTTTCCATAATTATACCCCTCACCTCTCCAAAATATGTTTTGAATACAAATGATGCATACAAGTAGAAAAAAAATTTGGAAAAAATTTCAGTAAACATTTCATAAATTACGTTCATAAAATATTTAAATGAATGCAATGAAAATATTCATGATTCCCAATTGAAATTGCACTTGTAGCTCATGTCATTATAAATTAATAGTGCTGTCTATTGAAATTTACTTCCAAAAGTGCTGATTACCCCAGGGGTTTCTAGTTCTATAGGATTGGGAAATCTAACTCATGAATAATGTTCAACCAAACAAGACAGTGACGTACCTGTGCAATTTTTATTGTGCTTATGCAATGCAGTATTTTTGGTGACAGAGAGTGAAATATCTGTAAAAGAATAAAGTTTATTTAGATCATTCAAGAATTGAAGTTACTAGTCCAACTGAGAGTAAGCCTCCATTACCTCCTGAACAAAAGAAGTTGCGCCAGCAAGTTCGTGATTTCCCTGGGAGTCTTTCACAACACTGTGGAGCCTTGAGCAAAGTTCTTTGATAGATAAAAAGGCTGCAGTTTTAACTGCACAACGATGGCTTTCTTAATTAAGACTATTAGAAAATTGGAAGGGACTTTGAAAAATGATGAATGAAGTATAAAGAATACCAGTCCATTTATGTTCAGGCAACAGGAATGCGGTATACATGTGCATTAAGCTCTTTTGTTTCTCAAGAATATCATTTATATGTGCCACATGGATACAAGAGGTTAAACAGTCAACAATTTTGTTATGTGGAACAGAAATCTCTTCAACACTGTCCAACTCTGCAAAAAAAGAAGTCAAAAAGGGTTGTCGTCAGTAGCACTAAGCAGCTTGTAACAAGGAAAAATCAAATGATTTAAGTGGCTGGCCATTTGAATAGCCATTGAACAGTAACAGTAACAAGGAGAATCGTCCATTTCATCAAGTTTCTAAATAGGGTGATGTTATAAAACGTTTTCTATTTTCAGTTTGTTTCCTATTTTCAGAAGTTTGTATTGGATAAAGTGAAAGCAAAAATGAAAATAAAAATATTTTCACGTTTCCTAACAAACCTTTGAGAGTAAAAAACAATGAAACCAAATGGCCCCAAAATGAAAACCTCGTTAAGAAACAACAAACTAAACCAACTTGGCATGAGGAACTTAACGTCAAGAACTGCATTAAATGATTCATTGATGGTCATACACAGTCTCCTATAAGGAACAAAACCTGTTCAAGATATAAATGAAGATCCAGAATTTGTCATAACCTGTTTCAGCGGGATCACTGACCAAAGGTGCTTGCCCAGACTTTAGGGGCTCTGAATTGCATAGATCAAACAACAAGGGAAAAACCATATTAAAGAACTCTGGATTGGCCAAGGATTTTATAACCTGGAAACATTCAAAAAATAATGCAACTTAATATGAAAGAATATATGAAATATTGCTGAATTTAGTATGTTATGCTTAAACTGTTGAGTAAGAGGTTCATATATGATTTCATATTTATAGGAACATGGGTATTGTGGGAGTCTAAGCCTCACATCAAGTAGTATAAGAGGCTTGATGAAGTATTCAAGTGTTTGGTTTCCCCCCCTTAACATCTAGTTTTTAAGGGGTGAGTTCAAGAAGTACTTGGGTGCTTACTGTTGGCCTCATTACTGATTATCAGCACCTCAAAAAGAACTACCTATAAAGGGTCATGACTGGTGAAAGGTTTTAGCCAATAAGAAATTATATTCAAGTGTCACTAAGTAAATTATCATAGAGTGAAAGTTGTCGAGACGTTGGCTAAGCAATGTTATGATGGGACTTCGGAATTATGGGAGGCTAAATCTCAAATTTAGTATGGGATACTTGATGGAATATCTAACTTTTAACAGCTAGCTTTTAATGGGATGGGTTCCCCAAGTGCTTGGGTGTTTATGTTATGTCTCATATGTTCCATTACAACTTGTATAGATAGAAGCAGTGTAAAAAGAGGCCAGGCCAACAGATCACTCACTCCATTTGACTTGACAAAATAAATGGGCTAGTACCATTGAAATCCCAGTTCTGCTACATCTCGTCTATAGACTTTTCAAAAAATTAAAATGAATGATAAAAGAATAAAATTCTAGAGCATATTTTGGTGATTAATCAACATTTTTGTATGCACTTTATAATGTTATATGGTGTATTGTTATTATATGAAACATGGTGCTTCACTCAATCCGTAGTGTTTTTCATGAAATTTTGCTATTTTTCTAATTACCTTGGGATTTTTATGATAAGTCAGTCTAAGGAAGGCCAATGAGCCCATGAGAATCAGGCTACGACTCTAATTTTCTCTTCCGATGACTACAAATTAAAATAAAACACAGCCAAATATGTTTTACTCTCAAGTTATCTTTGTAGTTCTATGATGCTCTGTTTCTATTTTTTTATTATCTTTGTAATTAATTCTAAATAAGGGTACAGAAAAACGAAGTCGTTGAGAGCAGATGGCTGTGCTTTGAAGCTTCCATGGGTGCAGTTTAATTTCAAGATTTTAAATGTGGAATACACAAGCATGGTAGCGGTAACAAGACTATTTCAGATTCTGTAGATTTTTCCTAAAGCTTGACTTCCTAATTTCTGCCGTCAAACTCATCACTACAATTTGGAGTGTCACCATTTTGCATTCTTTTAGAATTTAGTAGTTTCTGTTAAGAGGTAAATTTTAAGCTAAACTCAACCCCACAAAACCGAAACCGGCTTTTAGGATGAGGTTTATACTCACTTATATACTATAAATTAATCTTATCTCTAGTCGATACGAGACTTCCAACAGTTTCTAACACATTTGATTTGTAACTTTTATCCACTTTTTGTTATAATTTATTTTTTTCTTTAACATTTGATATTGATTATATTGCTTTGTTGGTTTCAATTGAATGTTTACCCCAAAGTAGAAAACTTTCCCAAAATTACTAACCAGCACACATTATAAATAAATTACTAACCTGTTCAAGAGAGGAAAGTGCTGCTTCACGATACTTTTTCCCCTTTCTGGTGCATGCAGATGATACCAAATTCAGAATGGCAATGGAAGAGGAGGAACCTTCAGCTAAAATTGCTTTATGGCAGGATGTTCATAGAGCACCTACTGCTAGCAATAGCACCTCTTTACCCTGCCATATGTAGTAAGAAATACAAGCACATGAAACTTGACGCAATCGTCCAAGATTGATATTTGATAACAAGTTTCTCTGCCAAATATATAAACTTAAAAGTGGAAGTCTTCATTATTTTACCTCCCATAGGCGACCAGGAATTTCCTTCATGAGAGACTGAAGCAAAACCTTATGGTGAGAAGAAAGAGATTCATCCAAAACTTCACTAAGCCTACATATAGCCTGTGCAGACTGCAGGCAACAGAAGATAAATAAGTAAACATCTATACACAAACCATGAAATCACCAAGTTGAATGAGGTTATATGAAAATAATAGAAAAGGAAGAAAACAGAGCAAGACTAACTTTTCTTTTACTTGCCCATGATGATGATGACATGCCCTCACAAATAAGTGAAACAATTTCTTGTAAATATAAGTGGAGAGTGATTCGTTCCCCACTTGTATATTCTTCCCATAGTTCCTCAAATAGTCCAGAGACATTTTTATCATCTTCAAATCTGCATGACAATTTTTAGTCTATGTGAAATAAGAATACTTAAATTTTTCAATGTGAAGATCTTAGTTTGCTATATGAGCTTTATTCAACAAACACAGTTTGCTCATCTACCCTTAAAATTCAGAATCAAATGCCTACAACGACATACATGATTTTCAAGAGTTAAATATAAAATCCATAATTGGCCACAATGTGAGAGCTTAAGTTTTTACCAAATACGGATCCTTACAAGGGTGATGGGAACATTCTTCCAGTTAAATTACAATTTGAGACAAGATATGCTTGGCCAGTGCTTCTTCCATGATTATAAACCATGATTTCAGCTAAGTCAGATATATAAAATTATTCCCAGCCGGCCTATTTAAACTTTAGGAGAGTTGGCCATTCACAATAACTGAGAACTTGGCTTGGTGTTCTCCATAATAATAATTTACTAAAATAAAGACACTACAACAATAATTAATGGGACCTCAACATGGTATTCACAACTTCTCTATTGACCTACACTTTGCTATTTTCCAAATACATTTTCAGAATTCTTTTTTTCCAACATAACATGAAATAATTTCTGAAATTGATGAGAATGCAACAGCATAGAACATACTTCACCCTTTGAAACTGGTACAAGAGAAATTATAGGAAAAACAAAAGAACAAGACAAATCCTACAAACTCATCATAATGACTCCAAAAGACTCCAAATCTACTTACCTGGAATCACCCAGTGTTCACAAAGAACAACAAACTAATATTCTAAAGGACAGTGGCTGGCAGCCAATGAATGACAAGCTTCTGCTTAAATTTATGATTCTGGATTTGATATAATGTTGGATTTTTATAAAATATTAAAATAAAAAACCATAACAGAAAAAAAGAGAATGTTCATAACCTTGAAAAAAAAACAACCGGAATGATAACTGCATAATATCCACCAACAACATCAGCTGCCATGGATGAATAGCTCTTTAAGAGAAATGCACATGCAATTTGAGAATTCTTGTCACCAGCGTGCAGAGCCGCAGTATCTTCGATAAGCTTTTGTGCTTGTGAGGCCGGTGTATACTTTAAGATTTTTGCACAAGCACTTGCAAACGCACGTTTTGCAGCAGTACTTTTTTCCTCCTTAACAACTGGAAACAACAATCTCACCAACATATTTGCATATGGCTTGATGTCAACACCAACACTTTCAAGCAACAGCGTAATGAAATTGGCAACACCAACCCTGCACAAGCACAGAAAGCATAATTAATTGTGAATATTACAAAAGTGATCTATCAGAGACAAAGCTTAAATATAGATTCATTGCATTTATAAGAATCATATAATTATCAGCACTGGTACAGTTCTGCTAAACATGATGTGGTTGCAAGAAGAGAAGTGAAATTTACTCATAGGCATTTGAATGATAAAATGGTATTATGGTTAATGTAAAATGATAAATGACTTTTGTTGCTTTAATTGAAAACTAGTTAGATAACGAGATCATCATGCTCCTCGATAGCTTCCATGTCATCACTTACAACGACAAGAGACTATCTCTGTCACTACTACTCATGCAGTTGACACTGATGATCCCTTGTTATCCTACATGTTTTCAAGGAAAACAACAAAAGTTACTTGTCGTTTCACAAGATTATTTTATATTAACTCCAAAATCTCACATTTCTTAATACATGTAAATAAATAAGAAAAATGACTGAACAAGATAACAATCACGTCATCCACTTAACGGAGAATTAAACAGTAAGAACTCAATTAAAAAATATAAAAGTTTAGAATACTCAATAGACCAAAATAATTTAATAGGGACTCAATCAAAACTACCAAAATTTTAGGGGCTTAAAACTTAATTAAGGCAAAAAATAACAAGTTGAATTCATTTGTTCTGTTTTTTCCTTGTTCATAATGAAACAGAATGGAGAATTAAATGGCAAGAACTCAATTAAAAAATATAAAAGTTTAGGATACTCAATAGACCAAAATAATTTAATAGGGACTCAATTAAATATACAAAAATTTGAGGGGCTTAAAACTTAATTAAGGAAAAAAATAACAGTTTGAATCCATTTGTTCTGTTTTTTCCTTGTTCATAATGAAACAGAATTTCAATAGTAAAGAAACACAAATGTGTTTCATTGAAGGACAGAATATTCCCAACAAGAAGGAAGAGGAAAAGCAAAGGAATATAAAAAAATCATTAAAATAAGAAAGCTAGAGCATCAGCATCATAAGGGTGACAATATATTAATTTGTAAAACAGAGAACATCAGCCAACTACTGATTGTCACTAATCCTACATGCCTTTTCTACTAACCCACCCTCCTTGAATCAACATAAGCTCCATAAATTTTCAAGGGAAAATGTAATATCAAAATGACTCAAGACAGTTCAAGCAGGCAAACAATGCAAAAGAAAATACATTAGATGTGATAAAAAGTTAAGAACAGACCTAGTATTGAGGCCCACACCAGATCGCACTAAATGAGCAAGCCGTGGGATCAATGTGTTTAATGATTCTGCATCAACAACTTTTATGCATGAATCTAAAGTCTCCCACATAGGAGAGCCTTTGGCCATGGAAATTCTCAAACTTTCAAGCTTGTCTGACTGTATTCCTACATTTGCTGCATGAAGCTAATAAAACGAAAAACATAAAAAGTTAACATATAAATAAACGAGAAAAAAATGTACTTATGCAGGAACAGAACATATCATTCAATCTAACCTCGACATAATTGAGCGATTGATCTTCTAGGCTTGATAAACTTTCAAGCATGCAGCACACTAAATCAGACATATGTGGACGAATTGCAGTTCCAGCATGCTAAAACAAGACAATAATAATAAGACACTCAGATTTAACAGCAGCATAACTTAATGGAATAATAGCACCATGTTATCCTTCCGTAACAACCAATCATTATTCTTCTTACACAATCACAATCGGATAAACACTGTCAAAGGAAAACCAGAAACTTCACAATGTATAAACTAAAAACTAACACCAAAACAGACAATAAAAATATCCAAAATTGTGAATCCAATATGTGCAGGTTAGCACCAATCATGCTTACTGGGAAATGAATTCTACAACAGTTGGTATTCTAATTACTTAGTTTTGGAAAAGAAGTTTGAAAATTTAAGTACAAGAAAATAGGATAAGTTATACTTCTGAAACAAATAAACCCAGAAAGTAGTACCAAAAACCAAAACATCAGTAAGATTATTTAAAATACCGCACCTGAAAAATCATTTGGTTAAGAACAAAGCAGAAAAAAGGAACAACCAACATCAGATTTGATGAGAATAAAAGAATATTAAAATAGTCTTTTGTTATATTCCATCTATATACACTAGAGCCAAGTAAACATATACATTCCAACTAAGTTTGACAAGATTTGATCAAAAAACTGAGACTTAAATATACAAAATTTACATATATTTAATTTACAATCGGGTGGAAGAAAGTTAAGAAAACGAAAGCAAAGTGGGTGTATGAAGTAAGTTGAAAAGCAAAGGGATAGCAAGCCATTCCTAACCTTCGTAAGCTTCATAACAACTCCAATTGATGCCTTGCGCACACTGTCAACTTTACTTAGGATACCTTCTGTGAGCAAAAAGGGTAAAACAATATCCATTGCTTTGTGTGCATCTGACATTTCAGTTAGAGAAACATCACAGAGCCTTGTTGTCAAGGAAGCTACACCACGGCATAGCTTTTCACCTGAAATTCTGACAGTTTCCTTTATGTCATCCATTGCACGAAATGCTCCAGACCACAATCTCTTTAAATGCTTCCCAACCTATGGGTGGTGCATGATGAAAGAAAAGCACAAAAAAAAAAAGAATAAAGACATGTTGATATGCTTTAGATATATCAAAATCAACCAGTGCTCAAATTGTAGATAGGGATGGCAAAATGAATGGATTAGATATATTTATCAAATGAAACATGGATGAATTATAACGGATCAAAATGGATGGAATTCATAAAAAAAAAAAAAATATTACCTCAGGTTCTATATATAAGACAAATATATAATTCGCAGAGACTAATAAAAGAAGTTAAATTAGTTATTTTTAATTAATAATGTTGTAAATTCAAATTTTATTTAAGTGAAAGTTATATTTAATGAGGCTACTCATAATTCAATGAATCAATTATCAACTAATAAAAAAATACTTATATTTGTAATGACCCAATAAAGGCATTCATCTATAACAATATATAAACAGGATTCTCTCATTTGAAATAAACTACCCAAATGTTAAAAGTAACCACCCACACACACTTCAGCACAACACATCATAAATCACTCACATCTTTCAACAGCACAATATACTACAAATCACCCACTAGTTTTAATGAAAGGGAAAATCAACCATTAATTTTCATATAAGGGAATAACACATCAAATATAAAAACCTCTGTAATCTCTCTTCAAATAAAAAAATACTTAAATAAACATATAAACCATATTTTAACACAAGAATAAAGCCAAGTAAATAACACAATAAAAAAAAAGTAGGAAGGAAGAAACAGAAGACCAGAATAACTAGTACTATTCTCCATTGACAAACATCACAAATCCCACAACCGGAAAAACTTGCCCTGTTTTTTTACAGATAGTGACNATAATGAAACAGAATTTCAATAGTAAAGAAACACAAATGTGTTTCATTGAAGGACAGAATATTCCCAACAAGAAGGAAGTGGAAAAGCAAAGGAATATAAAAAAATCATTAAAATAAGAAAGCTAGAGCATCAGCATCATAAGGGTGACAATATATTAATTTGTAAAACAGAGAACATCAGCCAACTACTGATTGTCACTAATCCTACATGCCTTTTCTACTAACCCACCCTCCTTGAATCAACATAAGCTCCATAAATTTTCAAGGGAAAATGTAATATCAAAATGACTCAAGACAGTTCAAGCAGGCAAACAATGCAAAAGAAAATACATTAGATGTGATAAAAAGTTAAGAACAGACCTAGTATTGAGGCCCACACCAGATCGTACTAAATGAGCAAGCCGTGGGATCAATGTGTTCAATGATTCTGCATCAACAACTTTTATGCATGAATCTAAAGTCTCCCACATAGGAGAGCCTTTGGCTATGGAAATTCTCAAACTTTCAAGCTTGTCTGACTGTGTTCCTACATTTGCTGCATGAAGCTAATAAAACGAAAAACATAAAAAGTTAACATATAAATAAACGAGAAAAAAATGTACTTATGCAGGAACAGAACATATCATTCAATCTAACCTCGACATAATTGAGCTATTGATCTTCTAGGCTTGATAAACTTTCAAGCATGCAGCACACTAAATCAGACATATGTGGACAAATTGCAGTTCCAGCATGCTAAAACAAGACAATAATAATAAGACACTCAGATTTAACAGCATCATAACTTAATGGAATAATAGCACCATGTTATCCTTCCGTAACAACCAATCATTATTCTTCTTACACAATCACAATCGGATAAACACTGTCAAAGGAAAACCAGAAACTTCACAATGTATAAACTAAAAACTAACACCAAAACAGACAATAAAAATATCCAAAATTGTGAATCCAATATGTGCAGGTTAGCACCAATCATGCTTACTGGGAAATGAATTCTACAACAGTTGGTATTCTAATTACTTAGTTTTGGAAAAGAAGTTTGAAAATTTAAGTACAAGAAAATAGGATAAGTTATACTTCTGAAACAAATAAACCCAGAAAGTAGTACCAAAAACCAAAACATCAGTAAGATTATTTAAAATACCGCACCTGAAAAATCATTTGGTTAAGAACAAAGCAGAAAAAAGGAACAACCAACATCAGATTTGATGAGAATAAAAGAATATTTAAATAGTCTTTTGTTATATTCCATCTATATACACTAGAGCCAAGTAAACATATACATTCCAACTAAGTTTGACAAGATTTGATCAAAAAACTGAGACTTAAATATACAAAATTTACATATATTTAATTTACAATCGGGTGGAAGAAAGTTAAGAAAACGAAAGCAAAGTGGGTGTATGAAGTAAGTTGAAAAGCAATGGGATACCAAGCCATTCCTAACCTTCGTAAGCTTCATAACAACTCCAATTGATGCCTTGCGCACACTGTCAACTTTACTTAGGATACCTTCTGTGAGCAAAAAGGGTAAAACAATATCCATTGCTTTGTGTGCATCTGACATTTCAGTTAGAGAAACATCACAGAGCCTTGTTGTCAAGGAAGCTACACCACGGCATAGCTTTTCACCTGAAATTCTGACAGTTTCCTTTATGTCATCCATTGCACGAAATGCTCCAGACCACAATCTCTTTAAATGCTTCCCAACCTATTGGTGGTGCATGATGAAAGAAAAGCACAAAAAAAAAAAGAATAAAGACATGTTGATATGCTTTAGATAATAAAAATCAACCAGTGCTCAAATTGTAGATAGGGATGGCAAAATGAATGGATTAGATATATTTATCAAATGAAACATGGATGAATTATATTTCTTATATAATTTTTTAACGGGTCAAAATGGATGGAATTCATAAAAAAAAAAATATTACCTCAGGTTCTATATATAAGACAAATATATAATTCGCACAGACTAATAAAAGAAGTTAAATTAGTTATTTTTAATTAATAATGTTGTAAATTCAAATTTTATTTAAGTGAAAGTTATATTTAATGAGGCTACTCATAATTCAATGAATCAATTATCAACTAATAAAAAAATACTTATATTTGTAATGACCCAATAAAGGCATTCATCTATAACAATATATAAACAGGATTCTCTCATTTGATGCACACATTTCATATTCCTATTTTATCCTTAATTATGTTTTAAAATTAGGAATATGGAAATAAACTACCCACGCACACTTCAACAGCACAACACAGCATAATACAGATAACCCACTATTTTTTATCTGATTACCATTATTAATTTTATTTTTTAAATCTATACAACATAAGAAGGGGATTCTCCTCTTTGATGTACACATTTCATATTTCTATTTACCTTTAATTATATTTTAAAATTAAAAAATTGAAATAAACTACCCAAATGTTAAAAGTAACCACCCACACACACTTCAGCACAACACATCATAAATCACTCACATCTTTCAACAGCACAATATACTACAAATCACCCACTAGTTTTAATGAAAGGGAAAATCAACCATTAATTTTCATATAAGGGAATAACACATCAAATATAAAAACCTCTGTAATCTCTCTTCAAATAAAAAAATACTTAAATAAACATATAAACCATATTTTAACACAAGAATAAAGCCAAGTAAATAACACAATAAAAAAAAAGTAGGAAGGAAGAAACAGAAGACCAGAATAACTAGTACTATTCTCCATTGACAAACATCACAAATCCCACAACCGGAAAAACTTGCCCTGTTTTTTTACAGATAGTGACTCACCATAACAGTAGTTACTTAGGTTTTTGTTTCCTACTATTAGAGTCAAGAGAGAGAATAGAGAAACTGAAAAAGTAACTTTGGTATTGATAAAATGTACAAAGAAAACAAGGGTTCTCTTTATATAGAGAATGAAAAGAAACTATTTCAGACTAAATACAAACTATGTAAGTAATCTCAATGACCTCATTAAATTTCCGTCCTTGAATAATGTCTGTAAGGGCAAGACACGATGCCTCACGCGACCGCCAAAGCCTGGATCCACATTGTTCTAATAAATCTTCAATTATGATATCTAAATTGTCATCAATGGTTTTTTTTGAATCATCCACTAGTGACTTCCATATATGTACCATTGCATCCTAGACAGAAAAAAATGCAACAGCCAAATCAAGTTAAGTGCCTGAAAATAATAATACATATACTCATTGGATATCATGCATAACATTGCATTCTAAGGAAACATGAGTTTTTCACTGAAAAAGGCAAGGAAAAGCTGCACAAAAAAAAGGAGAAATCTTACATGGAAATAGAGAACCAAACCAAAACTTTTACGGGGTAAAACAACATTTTATTTTTTGTTTGAGGTTTGACAAAGACAATAATTATATAGCACTAAAATCTTCTATCATAGATTAAAACTAGGTAAAGAAATTTTCTGGATTCACCTGTAAATGCCCTTGGTAAGGATTAGATTCAATACCGGGCTTACCAGATTACATAAATGGAACTTACCTGCACATTTTTGTCCGGATCATATTGGTAGCGTACAAGCCTTGGAATTAAAGAACGTAAATATGGCTGAAGAACATCCCCTGCTTGTTTTGCTATTTTAGAAAAGCCAAAAGCAGCACCCCTCTTTGAATTCAGAGAAGCTTGATAATTTGCTAAATCCATTGAAACTTATAATCAAGTCCCGGTTGCCCATCTCATTAGCTAAGTTACACAACTCCTTATAAGTGTTCAATTTTCCTCCACTAACTTCAGTATCTTCAACAAGCTGCACAAAATAACTTCAGAAATGTAATTCAAACAAAAAATTAAAGGGAGCAAAAAACAGTAAATCACCAAGCCTTATTCCACGTAAAACAATTTAAAAAATATACTAGATTACTAACAACTTACTTTGACAGCTCTTTTCCGTTTCCCTGACCCAGTCAATGTACTCACAAGTGCATTCACCAAATTCTTTTTCATTGATTCATCACCAATGTCATACACAATACTCATGCCTTGAGAAGCCAACTCTTGTGTGAGTTCATTTTGTTCACCAAGAAGGTGAGAAAAAGCCTCCTGCATATTTACATTATAATCGTAAATCCAACAACACAAGTTGCAGGATTCTGCAAAATTATAGACACACAGCCAAGAACATTGTATAAAATAAATGGGTTAATGGTGTTTCCAGTCCTTCAAAAATGAACCATCTTTAGTTTTAGTGCCTGACTTTTAAGACTTTTATTGTGTAAAGAGTTAGCTTTTAATAAATACAAAGATGAAAACTCGTAAATTTAAAAGTTGGGAATATAAACCAAAGGTAACCATTTTTCCCAGACTACAAAAAACCATAAACCAAAAAAAGACGCAAATTATAGCAATACCAGTTACAATATAAGTGGTGGTTTCACAGCGAGGAAAAGATAAGCTCCATCATAACAATTACAAAACAGTTTAGAGTGTTAATGAGGAATGACAACTCAGCCTAGATACAACTGATAAGCATATTTCTCGGTTAGTTTCATTATAACAGATATCATGTCCTATGGTATGATGACCCTGCATTTCACTTTTGGAAACCTAGGTTAGAACCTTATTATTGCAAAGCTTCTAGTTGAAGCATAAACCTAGGTAAGACCGAGTAGTTCAAGTCCTTTTGCAAAATGCACACGTTTTTGTCAGTTGTCTGGCTGGACAAACTAAAGTTTGCCAGTTCTAACACTGTTATTAGGTCCACAGGATAGAGGACGGTTAATTGTTCCTAAACCCAATCAAAAAATACAGTTAGGTCAGATAACATTGACCAAAACAAGCATGTGAGGATCAAAATTATAAGCTGTATAACAAACCTTTCCATGTTCAAACCACCACACTAACAATGAAAACTTCAGAGGAATAGCAGTTTAATCTGCAGTATTAACATGCAAACCTTCATTTGTATTATAGGAGGTCCTGATCTCATGAGTCATGACAACATATATCAACAACCATGGTAACTCATTTCCTTACACCCCTATGATCTCAATATTAGAGTTAGACTTTTCCTTCACAATGACTGAAAACAGACAAAGAGCCACAGATCCACTTCAGGTACCAAATTTTATCTTAAGAACATCTGGCCTAATCAGAAACCTCTTCCAATTGAAATTAAAAATACCCAATATCAACTATCACACTACTACAGTGGCAATAAATGGGATGCATTTAATATCTGATACAGGGAAGCACTTTCAAATTAAAAACTATTAGAACCCAAGGGATCAGACAACTGAGGGAATTTCAGATATGATTATGTTCTATTCCTAGACCATGACTCCTGCCTGGGTATGAAAGGTTATAAACCAGAATCCAGATAAATTTCTATAAGAACTCAGGACATCTTTAACAATATTCAACAAGTTTGAACAAAACAAAAAATAAAATTACAACAATGAAGGGCCATCTTCCAGTCCATATATCAATATCACACTAACTTCTTTCTGAATTTCCATTTTCCTTTTCAAATTATACATAGAAAACCCCAAATATAAATTGAAGAAGAAAATCAAATCTATTTATATATCTCCCCATAAACCATGGAAAACAATACAATACCATAAGTGAAGTTTCACATGTTACTATAGAGATGTGAAGAAAAAATAAAATAGAAAATTTGTTTTGTTAATGAAAAACCTGAATTTCTGGAAGCATTTGCTGAATAGCAGGATGATGGCTGCAGTACTTTATAAGTGAAACAAGCCAAACAGTTCCAGCACATCTCTCTTCTTTCCTGGTACTATAATAAAAGAACATCAAAGAGTTTTTTTGGTAAATTTGCATCTCTCACAGAAGCATGATAATACCCACTATTTCACTTTGTTCGTTATAACTCTTCTTAGACACCGAAGTCCTTAAATCTCCCATCAAAAAATTTGAAGCCATCGACAACGAAGTATAGTTAGTTTGAAGAATATATCAGCATTGAAAGGAACACCACCCCACATAAAAGACAGGGCCTCCCCTGCAGCAAAGAGAATATCCTCAACCTGAAAATTTAGTTAAACAAAGTGCGTAATGTTAGTGGCGTGCAACTTATAATTAGTGTTTATTTTAGCTCATTAAAGAAACAAAAAGAAGAAAATAACATCACAAACTGTTCCAATCAAGATTAAGGAATCCTAGAAACCAAAACTAACTTTTCCACAACATAAAAGGAAAAAATATTGTAGCAAAAATTTGAGAAAGGAAACAAAAGAAGGAACATCAAAGTAAACATCAATCCCAACACAAGTCACTGAAAATAAGCTCATCATACTAAAAATAAGGGAAGAAGAAAGTGTATTACCTTGGATCGACGAAAACTGAAAATCAAATTTAGGGCCATATCGAGCTGAGTAGATGATGTTTCTTTCACACACATATGTCCAATAGATATAACAATCTTCTGTATTGCTTTAATATCATGACCCAAGAGAAGCTTGTTCAATTTATCATAACAATTCAAAAATTCCATCTGCAGAGTTAATCAGACGCCATTATGATAGTCCTAAAACAACGTAGACGTCGGGTCTTATCTAAGTCCAAATCAAAACTGAGTTCTTATCTTTTACACCTTGAAATTTAATAGCGAATTAAGATCAGAGTGTTAGGGTGGGGTACTGAAATACGGTAGGCCACTATGACCCGTGCTTCTTGTGCAGTGAGCAGCTAGTCACGAACGTTTCTGAATTACACACAACAGGCGACCACACAACGCGCATCTAAGGTATGCTGGAGAGTATTTCTGTTTGTTCTGGTTCTGACATTCATGATTCCAGAATATGATATTACACAAAGTGCTAAAAACTATTATGAATAGACCAAGCGAATGATGTATTACCCTGCAAACAATTTGGACTCAGTTTCCAGTGGATAAGTTAAATTTTAGAAGCAGATAACACCTAAACAAGAAAAAACGCATATATATTGGACCAAGATCAAACACTTGGCCACTAATTGCACCTTACGTTCATACACCTACATTAAGAACTAAACCATATTCAAGCAAAATATGTACATCATAAAAGTATTAAATTCTTAGAGAGAGAACATTTAAAATTGCGGATTCAAAAGAAGTTTTATTTACATGAAAAAAATCCGGTAGAAATTTAGGTAAACAATAGAAATCCATAACACCTACACCAACAACATACCACGTCCAAGGGTAAGAATGATAACTGATCATTGTTTATGGAAAAAAATGAATACTATAATCTATTCATGATATGAAAAAATAACAACTAGCATGTGTCAACCATTTCATCCTCCTTGTTTGTTGCTTAATCCTCATAGACACTTTAATTAGCCTACTTCACACTATTTATTTTATAACAATACTGCACTAACCGTACCACAAAACAAGTAAGGAATGGATTGAACAATCATATATATTAATAAGTAAATATAATGAATAAATAAAATACCCATAATAAACGACTGAAAGGGAAAAAAAAACATTTAACATTAGAAGAGATTCTCTCTACTCTACTACCATCACTATTGAGATCCAGAAAGTTTGTAAAAATGAAAGTAGAAAAGTTTAACATATTTAGATGAGATTGTTCATGTAAACGATATTTATACATACACATTAAAATAAATCACACGAAAAATCCATAGAAGTCCTCAACAAATAAATAATCCATTGAACTAATTATATATTTTGAATACAAGATCAGTTCCTTTTTTTGGGAGTCTTGTAATGATCGATACAATGAAACTAATACATCCCCTCCTTAAAAAAGTCTATGCCCCTGTCTTTCCAATGCCACATCTCCTTCCGTTTTGCTGCATGCAAAAAACCATTGTGCAGGCTGTTTTGGTACCTAAGATGGAGTCGGAGGGAGGATAGAGTCTGTTATGGTCAAATGGAGGAGTGTGTCCACTACTGTCTTTGATGTGAGGTGATTTTTAATTAGACATTTACCATTTGGTTGAAAGTAAGGGGGAGAACTAAGAATTTCAACAGAAGGGGAGGGATCCTTTTCTTGTTTGGGTTCACAAGGGGTGGTTTGAGGATTTTTTTAAAAATTATTCACATCCAACCTTGGATTTGCAAAATTAAAAAGAAGATTATTTAGTTAATATGCTTGAAATGTTTATTAATTAAATCATACTCCTCCATAATTTTCATACCTTTTCCAATTCCCCCCAATATTGGACTGAAAGCAATATTGTTCCCACCTGAAAAATAGACCAAACAGAATTTTTAAAAAAGCCCTTAAACCGCCTCCACCCCCCTCCCACCAAACAGTTAGTAATTAAAAAATGAGTGCAGTAAATGGTACTTACAGGTGTTCTTGATAATAATGTTGCAGCACATATCCTAATTCAAGAGCAAAGAGCACCGTGCTGAGTTTTTCAAACCTATCAATAATTACAATATAATTTCAAGCATGAGCATATATCAAACAGAGGAAAAAGCAGCACTATCAGAAAAAAATGAGCATAAAAAAGACTTTAATGTCCACTAGTACATCAAACAAACATACGAGACTTGAGTGTTTGGGTGAAATAAGGAAGTAGCAATTCAGAAACAACATCAGGATGGAAGAGGAGAATATAACTTTCCTTATACGTGCAAGTGGATTCACGAGATCTCCCAATCACATATGAACTTAGCAGTTGCTTAAGATCCAACGAACCCTTAGGAAAATGTAGGCTATCACCTAGAACCATAAATGGTCATACTGTGAACACACAGCCAACATGAAGTTGCTTAAGCTTTGAAACCTTTGTTAAGAGGCAAAATGTATGATATCACCTATCTAAACAATAGATCTGTCAGTATGGAACACAACAAAGAAAGGCAATCGAAACGAACTTTAACTAATAACTGACCTCGTATTGTGCCACTGGCAATGTGATCCAACTATAAGCATTGCCTTGGAAGCATTTGACATCAACTCAACAGAGCCCTTCAATGACATAGAATGCTCCAGGACTAAAACAGAATGTCTTCACTGATGACCACAATTTCAGATGCCCTTCTAAATGATTTGTTCTCTGCTCCAACTCTGTCTCAAAGAAGCACTTCAATAAAAATTTAATCATGATGGCCACACTACTGTATTTTGAAGGAAAAACAAGTTTTGTTCTCTAGTTTTCACTGGACACGACTCACAACAACTTTGGCTGTTGGGGGGTGTTGTCGAAGAATGTAATCACATTTCATGCCCAATTAGGAAACATAGACCAGAAATTTGACTTTCACTCTATGAAAAGACACTGAGGAAGGACAAGAGGAAACTTCTTCGTGTGGGCCATTTCTCTGTGTCAAAAAATTAAAAACAAAAAAACTTAAATCGGAAGTCGATAAAGACCTATATAAGACTTCAAATTAAAAGTAACCACAAATAATTAATGTATATACATGTACAAACTCAAATATTTTCAGATTATGCACAAAATAAAGTCCAAAAACAAAAACATACTTAGAATAAAGCTAACTGTTTACACGCAACAAGAAAATGCATTACACGAGAATCAATAGCAACTCTGATTTTTAAAAGAAGCAGTTCAATCTAAGGAGATAACATGTTCAAGATAGATGGTTATTAAAATCGAACACATGCATTTGTCCTTTTCTCTTTACAGAGTTATGGTAAAAAAAATACAACCAGACAAAACAATCTTTTAAACCTAGAATATAAAAGCCATGCATGGCACATTCATTTTCATGCACATATTATGATGTTCTGTACATACTTTATAAAATCATGATATTTGAGAAGAGGCTCAAAAAATCACTTGATGCAATACCAAAATAAATATGTAATAAAGTGTTCAGTTATGAAATTGCACCTCCTTTGGAAAAAAATAAATATGCACAATAATAGGCTTGGAGGGTTTTTTCCTATTTTATTGATGAAAGAAGAAAATCAGCTGTGAGGATAAGGAAATCTCTCCAATGTAAAAGGAAAACATGAAAAAAGCAAAGCTAAACATTCCCTCAAAATATTTGTATCAGAAACCCTCTTTTAAGTAGAATACATACTTTATAGCATCATAGCATGTCAGATCATCACTAAAGGAATTTGTAATACCTGATATCTAATTTAGCATCTGCTGCTCCAAGCATACAAATAAAGCGACTTGGACAATGTTGCAGATCAAACAAAGATGTTGCCCATCTTATGGCACAAAAACGTACTTCACTTTCCTCCTGCCATCACCATGCAGCATGTTATAGTTCAAACCATGTGTCCATCAAATTTTTAATTAGATAGGGTATTATGACAGCACTAATTTCAGAGGATTTGATTAAAGTAAAGACACCAAAAAGCTATATGGTGTTCTCAGGCTGCAGTGTATTTGATTGGAAAGGACAAAGGAATCCTCTCTGTACTAAAGTCTTGTATTTGGTTCATTTTGCATCCAGTATTTTTTCTAGCTCCATTAAGACGTTCTGCTCATGGTCTGAGGGGTGTGCCCTTTGTTAGAGATTGGTATTTTTGTTGCTTGTTACTTAATTTCTGTTTTCTTTTCCATTTATTTTTTGTTGTATCACCTTTAGACCTTGACAATTTCTTATCCTCCTTTTGTATCTTCTCTATCTCAATAAAATCTTTTCTTATAAAAAAATATTTAATAATAAAAGTAGAAATTCTATGTTCTTCTGATTGCCTCATGAAATGAGTCCCATAAGAAGCTGTACAAAGTGCACCAAAGAGAAGCAATTGAAACAACCTCATTCAAAAATGTGTACTCTCACTCCAACCAAAGACAGCATAGCATAGGATAGAATGTTATACAAAGTATCAAAAGGCCTATCCAATCATCACTAATGTTGACCAATGTAAAACAAAAACACTGTGTAGTTGTCTCCTAACAACAAAAAAAGTATCAAGTACCAAATTTTACATGTAGGTCTTTTTAAAATGTAACATAAGTCCAAATGGTAGCAAAGAATGGGTCAGTGCCACATTCAAACCTCTTCCCAAATATTGTCACCTTAAAAGAATTTTATATGGGACGATAAATGAGAAAACACAAAAGCAAGGAAGGCTATAAAGCTTTTACTAAGGTAATATATTTTGGAGAAAAAATAGAACAATAAAAGAAAACCATTAAACTTATAAATTGAATAATGTGTAAGGGGGACCATACTGAACACTCCAAATAAAGGCCATAAGATCTTTAACATCCAAAAAATCATGTTTCATTATTTTGAGAACTGATCCAAGGAAAACCATTTACAATAACCTAGGCAGCTAGGAAAGAGGAGTATCTTTATCATGTAATTTCCAACATAACAGAAACAAATAATATATCTATCCAGGATCGAAGACAAGGGGAAAAGTTGGTATGTTTTGTCTTACCACTTGAGAATTTTTTAGCAGAAGTGTCTCCAAATCTTGTAACACAGCTAATGGGGCTCCCTGATACACAAGACAGTACAGTGAATAAAAAAAATGAGGAAAAAAGAGGAAGGTAAAATCCTAAATCAACCATAAAATCAAAAGTAAGAGCATGATAAGAGGTTTGAAAAAAGAGTCCACAATTATATTTTTATACCAAAACCTAAAGTCTTGCTGGTAAAAGAGTTCAACATTATAGCCCATAAAACAGTCTCAGGAAAATTGAACTTCTACTCTAATTTTATGAAATAAAAGAATTCAACACAACAAATCACATGTTCGCAACCATTAATTAACTCTATAGCTTTACTAGTCTAATAAGTGACAATTTTCCAAAATAATATGCTTCATACATCATTGAAGAACCAATACAAGAAATAATAGGAAAATATCAATCGAGATGATTATTATTAGCATTATTGACAAACTTGGAATTTCTGATCTTTCCTATCAATCAGGAGAGATCAGTTCAGGATCATGGGATCCTTTCCTATCATATAGGAAGGATTTTTTCACAAAATGTACTTCTAAGTAATTGCTCCATAGATCCTATGTCTATATGTAAGAAGAAGAAATCATGTGATGTGGGAGATTCTTATTTGTATGGTTATTAATTGAGATTCGAATCGTGAATCATTTTTCATGACCTTTGAATCGTAGGTTACATAACTTGTATAACTTAAAAGATAAAATAAATAAAACCCACAAACACTATTTTTTATAAAAATAAATAAAGACAAAAACTGTATATTAATTCAAATTTATTTTCTTTTCAAAAATATTAAATGAAAAAAATCCGTAAATAAAGACTAATGTAAATAAAAATATAATAAAAAATATTAAAAAAATTAAAAAGAAAATATTAAACAATAATTGAAAGATATAAGAACACTTATATATTAATTTAAACAATAACTGAGTTTTCCAAAGAGATAATATTAATTTTTTATGAAAACCAGAATAAAAAAATTAAAAAATAATATATAAATTATTACTGTAACCTTAAAATATAAAAGTATGTTAGTATGATTAAAATTCAGATAAAAAACTATGAAAAAACATTTTATATTTTAAAATATTACTCTGGAAAACCTACTCAGAACCCACCCTCACATAGTCATCTTCTCACTGTTTATGGGTTAATCTTGTCCTAGGTTGTTTTTCTGGTAGGATATTGCTGGTGTATGAAAAGGAGAAAGAAGAATTAGTTAGTCAGTCAGTTTTGTTAGTTGAAAGGGAAAGGGAGCCTATATATAAGGCTTTGGGAATATTGTACA